TTTGCATCTATTAACTTTGACACATCTGGTTAAAAATCTTGAATTTTCTAAGAAAAATTTGTATATACATATGATTATGTTACCTGAAACTATAGGCTGGATAATGAGAGAAAAGACCATCAACAAAGATAATAGAAAAAACGAAAACTATGTGATTGCCATTAGTTATGTTTTTGAATAGTATAATAAGCTTTTTCGTCTTTTTGATACCATAGTATTTAATGAAAATTGATTCTATTGATCTGTCTTGTGTGTGTTGATATATATAATGAGGATAAGAATCATACCAACGAAAAGCTTTGGTTGTTGTGCATTGGCCCTGCGAATCATCAAACCACAAAGCTGCTTTATCAAAACCCAATGCACATAAATACGAGGGAATATACAATCGAAATAGAATTACGCCAGGATCCAGAATTTAGAGAGACATTTCACAAAAAAAGCATGTGCAATGGATTGTTACTTCATTCATTAACATAATCCCAAAACAATTTTCATGATACAAGCAAGATACCAACGTACACAAGCAAGACCACAAGCAACATACACTTGTTTCATTAACATAATCCCTAACAATTTTCATCAAATCAATAAAGACAAGCCAAACTCAAGTTATTCTCATTCTTCTCGGTAAGGCTACAACAAATCTCTACTCTTTAACAAAATTAAGACGCTAGACGACGTCTTCTTTTCACACTTCAAGCCCATTCGACAATGTACAAGGCCAGTGCAGTCGTAAGCCAATCTTTATATTATACAATTGTTGTATTCAATTCATGTTTTCTAAAAATCTTTGGAGAAAACTATAGGAAAACCAAAACTACATTAAAATAAACAAGGAAAATAAGATAGACAATATCATACACATGTGATATTAACTTATTATAAATGAATGGCTTAATTGTGATACTATATCAAAGAAAAAGAAAATTCTAAAATTATTCTCACAATGACATTAACAAAAATATTTTTGCTTCTGGTTTGATATAAAAAAGCTTAAGTAGTAGATTATTGACAATAAATTAAGGGGCATTTGCGAAATAGTCTATATATTTTAGCATTTCAATAAATTAAAGGGGACTAAGCTTGAGCTTGAGAAGGTTGACAGATTTCACAAGGGCTTTACAAGAGATTTTCAACATATATGTTGAGGAGGTAGTAGATAAAACAAAAAAAGCGATGTGTGGATCGACTATGAGAACTCGGGTATTCCAAGGGGTTTAACTGCCGAAAACTATTACGATAGCATTGTCCAGGGGCTAAGGACAAGGGGTTTCACAGGAGATGTAACCATCACTATTGTGGTTGGTTATAGGGACTCAATTTATAAGGATGATGAGAGGGTTCTACTTCTGACGGAGAAGATAAAAATTATCTATTCCTGCAATAGTGTCGGAACACTGTAGTGAATCTAGTTATGAAGATGGTGCTGTAGAGACTACGCGCGTTGAAGTTCAAGTGCTCCTGCTTGAAACAGGAAAAAAGTAAAAGATAATCTCTGGAACTTTGCTAATCTCTGGAATTTTGCTAATTTTGAAACAATTAAATGCTAAGACCGAAGCCCCGGTGAACGGCGGCCGTTTTTTCCGCAATTTTTTCCATTCCTCTGTGTAACCCCCGGAACTTCTTCGTAGTGGCTCCGTTCCATGCCTCATTTCATAGGGAACCGAAGCTCTCAATTATCGACTTCTAGTTTTAGCGAATTTGTGTGCTTGGGGTGGTATTCCACAACCCCCTTTTTCACGACCTTTCCTACCTTATGATAGACTGAACTGCTACGGCCCGGGAAAAGCATGAAAAAAGGCTCGAATGGTCCCAAGTAATCTAGTAAAATGTAAAATGAGCAAACAATTCGAAATGCCTCGACTTTTTTAGAACAGGTCCGGAAAAGCTCGAACGACCTTCAACAAAAGGGGCCTTGCGCCCCGCAGTATATGATTCAACAGTAAGAGGCGAAACATAATCAACTTGAATTCGGGACAGCTATTCGAAAAATGACTAGTTCAGAGAGAATAGAGCTTTCGATACCCCAGTAGTCCTAGCCGTAAACGTTTTTTGTTTTCATTGTAGTGACTTCTTCCCAAATTCTTCTCTGGAACGTTTTACTGAAGATTTGAAACAGCAGATGGTTATCAAAACTGCATAATTCACAAAAGGATTAAGACAATTCTCCCGGCACTTTTTTGAAGCAAATGAACCCAAAGCAGATCGTGCTCACTTCAAAGTGGGAGACTTTGTGTTTGTGAAAAGGAACGGTTTTTCTGATTGGCCCACAACTATAATTAAGCATGAGCCTTCTGATGGAGCTTTGGCAGAAGGAGAAGTTTGTGTGTCATTCTTCTCAGAGAGAGACACCGGTATTATCACACTTAACTCTCTTGTGCCATGTACGAAGACGAAGATAGATTTGCTTTCGAAGCAATTGACTTTTTTTTAAGAAGCCTTCAAAACTATCGTTGCTAAGTATTCTGAGAGAGAGGTAGAGAAAACTAAAGATGAAGCTACGAAACTTGTAGTAGACTATGAGAATACAGTCTGCCTAAAGGCTTGGAAGATGAAGTCTTCTACCAAAATATTGAAGGTGGTTTAAATATGAACGGGTTTTCCGGAAAGGTTGATGTGACGGTAGTTGTTGGTTACGAAGACCATATCCCTGACAAGAGGGAGGCTATTCTGGAGGAGAATAAGGTCACCGTCTGCCACGCTAAAAAGATGGCTAGTAAATTAACTCGTTGTAGTACTTTATCTCAACATCAAACTTTTTGTATCTGATCTCAACCTTTTTTTTATATGGTGAATCAGGACCAACCAAAGGCTCAAAAAACGACCAATCTGCAGATAAGAAGATAGTAGAAATACTAGAACGACCAATCTGCCGATGATTTCAAGTTACTGCGAGCTGCAGGGCACACGGTTATGTGAAAACGTTTTTGTTGTCATTAGTTATGTTTCTAGAGGATGCACCAACTTTTTGTAATGAATTGTATTATGTTAAGACAATATTATGTAAATGAATATATCAGAAAAATAAAATAGTAAATTTGACTGAATATATAACAAACAGACACAAGACAAGACCAACTTTACCCGTAAATTTTTTAATCACAACCTCATATGGATAAC